TAACTTTTCATATTCAACAACTATTTATTAAAATGTTATTTATCTTTATTATATTTAAATTTTAGTATTAAATTCAAATAAAGTATTTATAATAGTTAAAACTCTTAAACTTCCTTCTCTAGACACATAAAAAACTAAAAAACTAAAATCTCCAAACCCTAAAAGTAAATATATTGGTTGATGGTATTTTTTTAATTTATGGAAGCCTTCATTCACGTTATTCATTTAAATTAAATCAATAAACTAACATTTGATTCAGGTATATTTATATTACTTCTAAATATAATTTCATTTGGTTTTGATATATGGTTGAGATTCTTAACTAATATTTGTCTTCTTATCACAAATTTTAAGTTGATTTTTCATCATAATCTCTAATTTTAAAGATTCTAAAGGAGGGAGAGACATCAAAATTAAGGAATCACAAATATCATGTTGTGTTATTGTAAAAACTTAGGGGCAATTGGGGGCAATATATGGAGCAAAATTTTGGGCCTAGAAAGGCAACATCAATGAATAACTCAAAAGCAAATGGCAAATACAATATATATATATATATATATATTATATTTTTAAAAGCAATTCATATTTTGATTTTAGGTATGTATATTATATGTGTGTTAAAATTCTCAATGTATAATCTTTTTTAAAATTTTCTATAAAAATAGTAGTACCTAATATAATTTTTTCAAAATATTAAGATGATAAATCTATATCAATATATATCTATCTATATCACTATTTATCTACTTATTTATAAATCAATCAATCAATCAATATACAATATAAATGTTATCCAAGTATTAATTAAACACTAATTTTGTCATTTTATTCTAATTATGAAAAAATAAATTTGTTAAAAGAAAAGAATATATATTATTTTTACATAAACTATAATAAATATGATTAATAATTTAGTTCAATTTTTTTATCTTCTTCTTAATTATTTATCATTATTATTTTTATATGTATGTATTAAATTAAAGAAAAAGAACATAAATTAGTTTTATTAAGATAAGAATAAATTATAAGATTATAATACACAATAATTATGTGTAATACTAAAAATTTTAAATAACCCAAAGTTATTTTTACCATTTTAAAGTGTCACGTCCCAAAATCAAGAGCGAAAGACGCCGTGCACTCGTGAACAGATCCCACAAATGCACAAGGCTAGAACCTTATTGTGTTCATAATTATCAATTTACATAACTTAAATCAGAAAACTCGATTAATAATTAACTTTCAATTACCAAAAAATTTGCTAGTTCGAATGTACAAAAGTTTATAAAACAGTTATGGCTATAACCAAGGAAACTCAATGTACAAAAAAATGATTTATCAATTCACATCTATGTCAAACATGTGTGGCTAACGGCCTAAGTCCAAAAAGGATCTAAGTCCAAAATACTGACTAGCCGTCTAGCTCGTCACTTCCCCTGATTAACCGTGCCTCGGGTCTCACTTCCTGAAATAGTGGACAAGGAAAACTATGAGATAAAATATCTCAGTAAGTAAAATATGGGTAGTCCGTAAGTAAAATTTAAGCATGCTTGATAAACAGTTTAACCTAATAAAACGTTCAATGATAAACAATTAATGCAGAATAAGCTTCAGTAGTAGTCTCATCTATAAGTCATGGCCAGTGTTTAACTCCCAGTGACAGCATCAACAATAACCAATGTATTATCCCATTGGCAGGATTTCAATAATAAACCGGTCCTATCAGTAAACATGTCGACATGTGCTAGCGTTTCAAACTCCCACAAGTCCAGTTTGTAATCATGACTATATTAGAAACAAAACCATGCAAGATTTACAAGAAAAATCCGTAATTCACAATCAATCACAAATTTCAAGAATAAACCGAAAAAATTCCATGTGGGCATGTATTAACAAGAAGATCATAATTTACAAAAATTTTTAGATCATCAAGGTAGTTCAGTAAACTCCAAGTAGGCATGCTCTACTTAATGAAAATGAAAATAATTCCATTCCAAACCAATCATACTCAGTGCTAATAAAATCAATTTAAACATTGCCACCATCTCAAAAATAATATAAAATATGCTTTTACTTTGAAATCAAAAGGTGTTACCATAATTTACTTACCTCAATCGCATAACACAAAAAACTCACTCCAAGTGCTAAGATGACAGAATAATCAAGAACCTAACCAAAACATTCCAGAATTAATAACCACATTACCACAGATCCAAAAGAAAGCACCACCATGACTACCCCCTAACCATGACGCCATTTATATCAACATGTATACTAATGTCCACATACACAGCTCACATATTTCATAAAACTTCATATTAAAAGAAATTAAAGTACACTGCAAGAATGGTCATTAGTGCGTGAACAGTGTGCGTGAACAGTACTCGTTAATTACGCGGTGAACAATAACTGCAACTTCCAGAAATTTGGCCAGAGCAGAAAATTCTAAGGAAAAACAATGCAGAAAATAGCAAGGAAAAATGCAGTAAAATGCAAAATTTTCTTGGAGAAAATACAGAATTTTTTTCTGGCTTAAAAGCAGTGCAGAAAACAACTAGGGAAATGCAGAAAAATGCCGCAACAATTTGCAGAAAAAAACAGCAGCAGATGCAGAAAACACAGCAGCAATTTTGCAGAAAAATGCAGCAACAAAACAACATCATTTCCTGCGTGAACAGTAAAATTTTATGGCAAAAACAGCAGGATTTCTAGTAAACAATAGTAAAAACAGCAGCAAACTGCAGAGAAAAATAGCAGTGGATTTGCAGAAAATGCAGCAAAATTTTACACCACAACAGGTACAATTTCTGGACACAAACAGTAGATAGTTCCAAACAAAAACAGCAGCCAATCAAGATAATTTCTACATGAATTAAGCTTAAATTTTGTCCTAATTGCTACCGGAAATCATCCGCTATTTCAGCAGAAATTCGGACAGCACAGGGCAGCAATTAATTAGACTAAATTCAGCAACTAATGGGTAATTTGGGACTTAGAGGGAGCTTTCACATACCAGAATTTCAGCAAGCAAACTGGAGCTGCAGGTTGGGGGAAGCTGACGGGGAGTACAGAAAAATTTTGGGGATCTACCGAAAATTGGGAGAAACCAAGAGAAATTAGAGTAAACCCAAGCCAAATCAAAGGAGAAAAGAGGAATTAGTGGCTGTTTCCCGTACCAAAAACCAGAAAAATCACACCCACAAAGCAAGAGCAACAGACGGAAGGAACAGAGCAGAGCAGATCTGGAAATTTCTGCAGGGAGGAAAGATTTCCAAGTCTAAATCTGGTTCTTGAACAAGAAAGAAAGGAAAAATATCAACCCTTTTACCCTTTTTTTCAAGTGGGTAGTGTGTCGGTGGCTGGGGCTCTTGTTTGGCTCAGGGGAGAAGAAGAAGCGCAGAAACACGCAGCTGAGGAAGAAGAAAGAAGGAAAAAAATCAGCCCGTCCTTATCCAATTCTTTTCTCTTTTAAGTCCTTCAAAATTGAACATTTGATGATTAAGCTCAACAATATTATTTTCTCACAATTAGGTCCCTAACTCACACTTAATTGTTTTAGGAATTTTTGGGGTATTACATAAAGTTATGTAACTTTTTATTTTACCTTTCTTTTATATCAAAAGTTTTATGTTGATGAATTAAAAGAAGATAGATATATGATGGAAAGTAAAAGGTTGTGAATATACAAAAATTCAATTATAATTCATTTAAGTAATAAAAAATGTAATTTCAATAAAAATTATTATATTATAATTAATAATGGAAGATTAAGAGGCACATAATTAATAATATAATATATAAATAATAATTGTTGTATTATTTCAATATTAATTTCAAAAATAATAATAAAGAAAAGAAACTAAAACAATTTATTAACAATATAAATATGGTTTATCTTTATATTAATGCTAGTAATGATTTGCAGAAATTGAATTCAAGCGAGTGTGAAAAACAAAAGGTTTGTATGAATACAAAATTTTTAATGAAAAATGTAATTTCAAATTTTCAATTACAATTATTATATTATAGTTTAGCGAAAAATGTGATCTCAATTATAATTATTATATTATTGTTTGTTGTTAAAGATGAAAAGGTAACATGATACAAATGACAGTTATTGATTTATTGTAACATTAATAGTCAATAACACAGAAATATATAAAAAAAAACTTGAATAACAAATAAGCTGCTTATTATAAGCGAAAAAGAAAACTAAAATAAAACTAATATGACTATTTTAAATAAAACTATAAAACCAACAATTTAAGCAATATGATGTAATCAAATAAATAGATGACAAAATATTTTTAGTCCATTTTGAAACTAAATAAGTAAATAGTAAGATTTCAAATTTCAGTCAAATAAAAGAGACTATTATAAGTAAAATTGGTCTATGACTAGGATGAACCACTAAACCGAAAAAAAATAGATAAAACAAAAATAAGAAGATTTAATATTATAAAATCAAAATAATCTCAAATTTTGATCATTTGAAAAAGTTTTAAAACTTTAATTTACAATACATAGGAACATAATTTTTTAAAATGGAAAACACAAAATGTATGGTTTAGGTTATAAAAATACAAAATTACCTTGAGGCAAAAAAATATTTTGGTGTAATATGGATTCAAAAACATACTTTCTAATATATAATGTAAAAAATTTCAAACACTTTATTCTCTAATTTAATTAACAAATACAACTTACATTTGTTTAAAATAATTTTACCATTTTTTTAACATCAATTTTTTTTTTAATTTAAGAAAAGTACAAAGAATACTCTTATCCATAAAATAATTTTATCATAAAAATAATTATAAAAGAATATCACACAATATAGATATAAAATTGTTGCTAATTATAATTTTGAAAAATATTCTTCCTAATTATCAAATGCAATTAAAATTTTTTAACTAAAAAATTATTATAAAATTTTAAAGTTGATAAAATATAATATAAAATCTAAACTCTCATATGAAAAGTTAAAGCATAAGGCGCACAACACACAAGTGAAAAAAAAAAAAAACAAAGATTATTAGTTTATGTGATGTGGAATTTCCATGTCAAATTTCCAATTGTAGTTTTGTAATTCCCCAAAAATTCTTAGAACAATTAAGTGTGAGCTAGGAACCTAATTGTGAGAAAATAATATTGTTGAGCTTAATTACAAAATTTTCAAATTTTGAGGGACTTAAAAGAGGAAAGAAATTGGATAAGGATGGCTGATTTTTTTTCTTCTTTCTTTCTTCCTCAACTACCCGATTCTGCTCTTCTTCTTCTCCCCTGCACTGAACAAGGAGACCCAAGCCTGACAGCACCCCCTCTAAAAAAAAAAAGGGAAAACTTGATTTTTCCTTTCTTTTCTTGTTCAAGAACAAGATTTAGACTTAGAAATCTACCCCCTACAGGAGAATTTCTGGATCTGCTCTGCTCTGTTCTTCTCCGTCCATGCTCTTCATTGTGTGGGTGTGATTTTTTCGGTTTCTGGTAAGGGGAAACAGCCATTAATTCCTCTTTTCCTTTTTGAATTGGCTTGGGTTTACTCTAATTTCTGTTGGTTTCTCCAATTTTTGGTAGATCCCAAATTTCCCCCAGCACTTCCCGCCGGCCTTCCCCAAACTGCAGCTCCGATTTTTTCTTGCTAAATTCTGGTATGTGATAGCTCTATCTAAGTCCAAATTACCATTAGTTGCTGAATTTAGTCCAGTTGATTGCTGCCCTGTGTTGCCCGAATTTTTTCTGAAATGGGGGAGGAATTCCGGTAGCAATTAGGACAATTTAAGCATTAATTCAAGTAGAATGTATGTGATTGAGTGTTAATTAGCTGCTATGAGGTTCTGGAGAAAACTCTCATGAAATTAGCTATTGTTTTGCGAAGTTGCAGTTACTGTTTATTATGTAATTACTGTTCACGAGTATTGTTTATGGTACTGTTCATGAATTACTGTTGACGCGCTCATGGCCAACCATAGGAGGGTTTAAATGTTTAGTTTATACTGAGAATAAAATTGAGATGTCCGTCATATGGTTATTAATTTTGAATTATTTTGGTTAGGTTCTTAATTGTTCTGTCACCCTAACACTTGGAGTGAATTTTCTATATTATGTGACTGCGGTAAGTAAATTATGATAACACCCTTCGATTTCAAAGTCAAAGCATATTTTAATTGTTTTTGAGATGGTGACAAAGTTTAAATTGATTTTATTAGCACCGAGCATGATTATTTTGAAATGGAATTATTTTCATTTTCATTGAGTAGAGCATGTTTACTTGGAATTTGCTTAACTGCCTTGATGATCTAAGAATTTTTGTAAATTATGATTTTCCTGTTAAATCCATGCCCACATGGAATTTTTTCGGTTTATTCTTGAAATTTGAGATTGATTGTGAATTACGGATTTTTCCTGTAAATCCTGCATGGTTTTGTCTCCAATATAGTCATATTTTACTGTACCCGCTAGTGGGAGGTTTATAAACGCTAGCACATGTCAACATGTTTATCGATAGGACCGGTTCACACTAAAATCCTGCTAATGGGGTAATACATTGGTTATTACTGAAATCCTACCAATGGGATAATACATTGGTTGTTACTGACGCCTGTCAGTGGGAGTTAAACACTAGCCATGACTTATAAATGAGACTACTACTGAAGCTTAATCTGCATTAACTGTTTATCATTGAACATTTTGTTATGTCAAACTGTTTATCAGATATGCTTAAATTTTACTCGTGGGCTACTTATATTTTTATTTACTGAGATATTTTATCTCATAGTTTTCCACTTTTCCTTGTCCACCATTTCAGGAAGTGAGACTAGAGGCACAGTTAACTAGGGGGAGTGACAAGCTAGACGGCTAGTCAGTATTTTGGACTTAGATCCTTTTTGGACTTAAGCCGTTAGCCACACATGTTTGACATAGATGTGAACTGATAAATCATTTTTTGTATGCTGATATTCCTTGGTTATAGCCATGACTGTTTTATAAACTTTGTACACCTGGACTAGCAAATTTTTGGTAACTAAAAGCTAGTTAGTAATCAAGTTTTTTGATTTAAGTTATGTAAATTGGTAATTATGAACACAGTAAGTTCCAAACTTTGTGCATTTGTGGGATCCATTCACGAGTGCACGGCGTTTGTTTCGCTCTTGGTTTTGGGGCATAACAAGTTTTTCGGTACTAACCCCTCCCCCCCCCCCATTATTTGGAAATCATGTTAGCCCTTGACTAATACAAAATCGTGCCCCAAGCTCTTCCCACTTGAACCAACAAGTTAATGATAAAAAATTCTCCATTGTATTGATTAAACGTACCTAACTAATGGATGGGCCAAAATTACTCAGTTTTTTAAAGTTGAAGTACGAAAAAAATGTTAAAAAAAGTTGAGAGATGAAAACTTTGTAAAAACTTAAAGTTGAGAGATGAAAACTTTGTAAAAACTTAAAGTTGAGAGACTAAAATTGGCATTTAACCTATGACTTTTACTGAACCTATACCACATGTTCACCCTTATGAATAGTGAATACTAAACAAATAAGGACTCTACAATTGACCTATGCTAAAAGTCGCCACTAACAGAACAACTTTTCAAGTAAATCTGAAAATTTTAAGGTCAATTTGGTCAAAGAGAAACTCTTACCTCAAAAATTTCCACTTGCTAGGTTATTTTATATATTTTCACACCATAATACTAAAACAAAAGAAGGGTAGAAGTGACACTTTCAGTCTTTATTTTACCTTACACAATTCTCAACCAATAAACTTTTCTTCTCACACTTTTTGAAGGAAAAAAATTTCTTCCCAACTTTCCTTATATAAGACCCACTTGACAATTTTCCTACTAACTTTCCCTATGCCAATTGCTTACCAAACACAAAAAATTGACAATTCAACAAAATTCCAAGCGAAACTTCATTACAAAACTTATCAACTTTTCATACAATACTTTTCAACTTTTTACACAATACTTTTCCAACTACTTCTTTAGTAAAGTTGGTAAAAACTTTCCAAGTTAACAAGTCCTTAAGCTTAACTTGTTAGTAATAGTTACTTGTTAGTAATAGTTACTTGTTGATATATCAAATTCACTCACACTTCCTCTCGATATAAGATTTAGGGCATTACAATCTCCCTAATTAAACATTTCATATCTCCATTAGACCTAATACAATCAAAATAAAGTACATAAGCCCACAAGCACAAAATCCATCTCAAATGATGTGAAGTTCATACTACCACTAACCATAATGGTTAGTATGGGCCTATACTTGTAAGAAGTGACCTTTATGATACCAACTAAATTGACCTAGGCTAAAACCTGCTACTAGCTTAGAAACTCTTCGAATCAATGTTCATAGGCCCCACCAATGGCCTAACAACTCTTTAGATCAATGCTCACATGTCCTTGAAAGCTTAAACTCAAATTATTAGTAGTAGTTAGTTATTTATTTATCAAATCCACTTAGACTTCCTCCTAAATATGGAATTTCAGGCATCACATATGGTTTGATCAACCAGCAATGAAATAAAGTCTTATAACAGTAAATGGAATGAGTAGAGAACTAACTTGTGGCACAATGATCATCCCCAAACTAAAGTATAATATTCAAACTCCAACAATCTCACTATAATTAGCAAGAATTTAATTTAGTACTTGTCACGCCCCAGAACCCAAATCTGAGAACGTGGCAGACATCGTGCATTCGTAAAAGGGTCTCACAAATGCACAAGGCTCGGAACTAATCCAATTCACATATGACAATCCAATAACTTAAATAATATATTTCAAATTAATTCTATGTCCAACACTTAAGCTCAAAATCTCAAGGTAAAATCTATCTTACAAAAGCATGATTTATTTCTAAAATCCATGTCAATCTCGAAATGGCTAGCCTTCTAACTCGTCACTTCCCGTGGTTTTCTCATCCTTGACTTCACTTCCTAAAATGGAGGACAAGGAAAAACTATGAGATAACTCAGTAAGTAAATATGGATAGCCCTTACTTAAACTTATAGCATGCCAACCAGTATAATCACGAAAAACAAGTATGAGTACGGAAACGAAATAGACGTCTCCTCTATAGGTCATGGCCAGTGTTATAAACCTCCCACTGGTAGGCACATGATCTACTAGTGTATAATCCCACTAGCAAGATAACAAAAACGAACCAATTCTATCAATAACATGTCGACATGTGCTAGCGTTTATAAACCTCCCACTAGCGGGCACACAAATAACATGACTATATCGGAGACAAAACATGTAGAAGTTAACAGAAAAATCATAATTCACCAATCACTTTCAAATCATCAAGACAATCAATTAAATTTCAAGTAGGCATGCTCAATTTAATGAAAAG